TAAGAGTATGTACCACTTAAAATAACCCAACAATCCAGGGGTGGATTATGTAGATGAGAGGTACATGGATAAGCAGGTGACTGGTTAAATGGATGATAAGTTGCCACAACACACAGCTGGTCACACTTACTTGTGTGAGTGGTCAATATTACTGATATATGATGTGTGGATTAGTGTCTTTGTGAGAGTATATCTTACTTGTTTTATAATACAATACACTCAAATTGTAGTTGTTCACTGTACTAATAGGAATGTTTTATATGCAGCCTATACACTGAATCCTGAGCCTTTGTAAGTAAAGAATATAAATTATCATGTGTGTGTGTGTGTGTGTGGTGGGCCATAAAAATAAATGATTGTAGCCTTATCTAACTTCAGTAAATTTTCTTAAGTGTCTTTTCACCCCTGCCCACTGCAGATGGTGGGATGAATTCTTGTGATTGTTATAACTCCAAACTCTCCAAAACCATCTGCTCACTCTACCCACCCATAGGCCCTTCCCCTGTCCCAAACAACCTTACTCCCACTCACTCATAGACCTTCTCATGTATAAGAAGACACTCCTACCCCAGGAATCTGCCACCCCACAAGACTCCCACCCAAACCCAACTACCCATGCAAACTCTCCATCACACAGGCTTTCCTACTCGACTTCTTTTTACATCACAGCCTCTTTATGACTCGCAACCTCCCACACTACTACATCAGTCTTCCACATGCAACCCACACCATTAGGAAAAAAAAAAAGGACGAGTGCTCTGAGGATTTAAGAGAACAGTGTGTCTTACAGTGAAGCTCAAGATCTAGTATACAAATACTGATGAAGTTGCAAAGCAAGGAATTGAAATAAAAAGGGTTCAGTGAGAAAACATCTCATGTGATTGTAATGGTAGAAACAAAAATCAATGAGGTGATCTCAAGTGCAATATTTCCATTGGAATGGCAGATAATAAGAAAAACAAAAATGCTCATTATAAAAAAGAAAAGTTTTTAGGAAGTTACAGAAGGTAATACAAATGGATGCACAACTTCATCACTGGGACTTTCAAAACAGATGGAAAAAAGATAGCGTATAGTACTATACAATCCTCAACAAACGACAGAAAATGTACATGGTACTACAAAGGTGCCAACAGCACTTAAAATTAGAGAGAAGTTTCTGATCTTGGGGGATCTAAATCATGGAGAGAGAGAGAGAATCAAGAAATTCTCACAGTTGAGAAGAAACATGGGGCACATTAGTTGTCAAAGAAAGGAACTTCTTAACATATACAAAATAAAATGAGGAAGACAGTTGTGGACTAGGAACATTAACTTCCACTAGAAGCCAGGAATGTTGTGTCCTAGTCTTTGACTACATAATATAATAAATACAAAATAATGTAATTGATATAAATAAATTGGATTAGAAAACATAAAAGGAATTACATGATAGGGAGCACAAGAACATAAAAATAATGAAAACTGCAGATGGATTGTTGGCCCATACAAGGCAGCTCCTATTTATATCCACTCAAAATCATTCAAATATCTGGAGAATGCAATGAGAGGAACTTTGTGGACAAAAATTCAAGAAATGCTGGTTCAAGTCAAATAAAGCTCTACAGAGGGTGAGAATAATAATAAAGAAAAAGTAGGATGGAGTAGAAAAAAAATCAGAAGAGAGTATCGAATCAAATGCAACAGCCTAGGAATGAATACAGTAAACATCATAAGAGAATCTGAAAACAGTATGAAAATGACATTGCTTCCAAAGCTGAGAAACACCCCAAGCTTCTACATAGCAAGTGACTAAGACTAAGGAAGAGTGGCAGAGAACATACAAAAACTAAATTTGTGAGGAGCAAAATGCCAGTTTCCATGGGGCTTCACGACTTGGCTGGAACATCTCCCAGTGCTCGGAATGTTTTTTTTTTTTTTTTTTTTTTTTTTTTTTTTTTTTTTTTTTTTTTTTTTTTTTTTTTTTTGCAGGGATATTCCTGCACGGGCCCTAAGCCTCTGGCTGGCCCACTAAGTGTTGCTTGTTTCTGTTTTATTTGGGCGGAGTATGAGTATTTATTACTCGTATGGTCGCTTCAGTAAGATTTTGCCATATGTGTTTAACAACTTCTGCTCTGTTGAATCTAAGTTGAAATCTTAATGGGTTTGTAACTGTGCACTGTGTTAGATAATGTTCCAGTGGTCTGTCGGGCATTTCTCCACAGTGTTGACATTTCCTCTCATCTTCCGGAACCTGTAAGCCTATTTCCCATGCACATGGGTATCCAAGCTTGATGCGATGTAAATGCACTTCGGTTGCTCTACTGCTCCCTTTCATCAAACTAAGTGGTTCGTAGTTGATTGAATTCTTGTACCAACCCGCAGATCCTGATGTTGCAACTGCTGTGTTGTGGTCACTGTACATCTTTTGCATTGCTCTGTTTCTAATTACTTTCTTAATTTGTGATAGACTCTGTGGTATGTAAATGTCTACATTTCTTCTCTTAGTTGCAAGTTTTGCAACTTCGTCTGCAATGTCATTTCCTATTATTCCCGGAATGGAGGTAACCCAAGAACAGAGACTGGCAAATCTTGAGGTAACAGTAGAGGAAGTATTGAGGTAATTAACATCACAAACAAAGCCACACGTACATGTACATAGAAAGCTTAGAAGTTTTGTATAATTTTTTATTGGTATTCTTTGATACCAATAAAAATTTCAACTCCTTTCCAGACCAGTTGGGAAATATAGCCATTACACTGTCATTGTTGGTTAATATACTGTACCAACAGTTTTCAATTTCACTGGCATAAATGAATTTTCATTCATTCATAAATGTAATCTGGATTTTATTGGTTATTAATAGAAAAAAGTTATTGTCAACATATGCAAGGTTTTCTCTATTATAAAATTATTTCTCTATTATAAAAGTTGTAATAGGGAGTACTTTACTAGTATTAAATTTTATATGATGACCTCTGGTAATACATGCAAAATATATATACTACATACCTGATAGTAAAAATTTAAGATAATACAGGAATGAGGAAAATTGATATACAGTACTTGTCATTGAAACTATTACACAAGCTACATTTAATTCCAAGTAAAACTCACATTCTCTTTCATATCTATCTACTTTTTTTCTTTTAGCTAGTATTAGCACTTTGCTGTTTCAAGTTTTAATTTACAAATGCTTCTTGGTATACATAACCTGAAAATGTCATTGTACAGTGAACCCTTGATTTGCTCAAAGGATGCATGGGAAATCTTGTGCAGAACAAATTCATGCAGATCAAAATCTAAGTTGTGTGGAAAATTAGGATGCATTCCCAAAACCTATAAATGTCCACTTTTTCTTTTTTTACACCTACCTGATTATTACCACCACATTCTAGCCACAATTACAATACATAAATATGTGAAGAATGCTTGAGAGGTGCAGTGATTCAAGAATGTAACAAAAAAAAAAGTGTGTAAAACAAAGAGAAATGTGAAGTGTTTAAGGTCAATAGTTATTTGGACAGACATGGATTTAGTGGGGAATGACATGGGTTGAAAGAACGTGAGCAGCATGGTGCATGGTTGCATGTAGTACAACACCTTGCACTCATTTTGCACCAAGCCAAGCACAGCCTGTGCCTTTCATTTTGTTATTTAGCTAGCATGCACAAATTTTGTTATCCAAACATTCATAAGTTGAGGGTTTACTTTTCCTTGCACAGAGATATGTTTTAAGAGATTGGGCTCCAATCCCTGCCCCATATGCTTATGTCAGCCTTTTTTTTTTTTTTTTAACACAGGGAACAGATTTATCATGGTCTTGTTTCCATGGAATATTTGTTTATCCTTTAATGTAACATTTGCTGCTGCTTTGGCAATTATGAACATAAATCATAAGTACTAGTGTTTATCATCAATACTTTGCAATACTGTAGTTAACTAAAAAAATAAAAAAGTTGTGTACTGTAATTCAGAGAGATGTAGAGATGAGAGAAATGTTGCAGTATAAACCAAACAGAAGACCACATTAGGTTGATGATCAAAATGAGGGAACTGGTGTGGAGAGAATAGGAATGGAATTGCATCTCGGTAAGATGAGGGGGTTTAGAAATTTCAAATCATAAAAATATTCTGAAAAAGTTATATAATAGGCTGTATGTGTGAAAGATTTGACAATGAATGTGTGATGGTATTAGACTTGAAACTGTGGATAACTTCCATTTCTTTAAAATTATAAAAAAAGACGTGAAATAAAAATGAATGGTTGATGGATTTTGTATGTATACTTTAATAAATGGAATAATACTAATGCCACTAATACAGAGACAAAGGTGAAATCCAAACATAAAAGCTAAATTTCAAATTCAGTTTTATCTTGAATAGAACTCATTTTCAGAATTACTGTATAACAGTGAAAATAAACAGATTGTAAAATGCATATCACAAGATTTTGTTCCAGATATGTTTTGTAACGATGAAATTTATTCTAATGCAAATAGAATTGCCAGCATTCTACCAAATAGTGCCAACAATAAATACACATAATAGACAACTTTTCAGAATGTTTTTTTATGTACAGTATTCCATTTGATATAGTGCACATTATTGTATTGACTCCTGTTTGCCACATGTAAAACTGTCATAATTTTTGTGTATAATTATTATATATTATGCAGATTGAAAAAGGTTCAATATGCTGTCTGAAAAAAGAAATTACAAGTTAACTGTAAACATAGTTTTTTCTTAATTTTAATCTAATTTATTGGTGTTCATTGTATATATGAATATTGTATACTGTAATTGCAGAGTAAGAATTCTTTATTTTGAAAATGGCTAGAGTGGCAAGTTTAATGTAGGTAATGTTTATTGGCTACTGTATAGGAATTGTATCATACAGCTGTTGCCATAGCATACCAGCCCTGTGTGTGTATTATTGTGCATAGATTTATGAATGTTGTACTGTATTTAGGATCAAACTAATACTTATGTTATTTACAAGGTAAATAAGAAAAGTATATTTTGGAGCTTATTTATTAATATATTTTTAACTTGAATTTTCCATGAGAAGGATTTTAATTGTATGCCAAGACACTCATACTGGTTACTTAAAACTGGTGTCGGTAAAGCATTAGACTTTTAACTAGAACAAAAATAATTATATGGATAAATTGGAGGCTGCATTTAATTTGTTACATTGAAATGGACACTTGGCTATGCCATTACCTAAATGAAACATTGTGAGAAAACCTTTATCAATATGAATATTTTACAGTAACTGTGATTTTGTATTGTAGAACTTGTTGTATAACTTATTTGTATTGTATAAGGGAACTTGACATGAAATGACAACTTGCCAACAAATGGACAAACACACTGACCCTTAACAAAGCCTACCTTGTTAAGCATCTGTTGTAACGTGACATGTTGGTCATCTTACCTTAAGTATACAATACTGTGTGTTCAAGTGTACTGTGTTAATGTTAATTTCACGTTTGACACCCATCTACCTATTACAGCATGTAAAGAAGTCTGTTTTTTGCTAGGGTAAAGATTATTATTTTTTTTTTTACTTATTAAATAACATTTTTATTTGGACATTTTTAGGTATATTTTAGCTTTGGTCTATTCTGCAGTGTATTGTAATGTTGCTACAGTGAAAACTATTTTTATTTATAAGTGCAGTATTTTATACAAATAGAGTATGACTTAATTGAACATTGTTAATATTGAATAAAAGTGCAATAGTTTTATCGAGGGAGAGTCCTACTTTTCCCGTATTCATTATGATTTTAGTAGTGAATGATATTCAGTGTTCAGGAATTGGAATTTAAAAAGTGCAAACTGTTACATTTATTTCAATGTATATATATTGCATAGCTTATGATTGTTTGGGAAGCAGTAAGATAATAACAAATGACTGCTCTTTCAAAAATGATGAGGAATCATGAGCTTTAAAATTTTGTTATAAGCTGTTCCTGCAAGTGCTTTTATACTCGTGTTTTATACTGTATGTTTTTGTCTTCATACAATCGGGGACAACATTGTCCTCATTAGTGTATTTGAATGTACCTTTGACAAGCGTGTGTTGCCACTTGTGACAGTATTTTTGTGTACTGCAGCCTCAGTAGTACATTTTACTCAATAGTCAATGGGATCTAAATGGTATTAAGATTTGTAAAGTTAAGCTGTTCAGTACTTCTGTTATCATGTTACATAGCTTTAATTCTTAGAAATTTTCTTTAGAGTATGATAATCAGCCAGCATTTGTTTGTAGTGCCAAGTGATTAATACATTGAGTAGGAAAACTTTTTAATTTGTCCCAGTATTTTATTGGATATAGGATGATAGAGGATCATCAAGTCTTCCATATGCTTTCCTCTCTAGGTAACTGACTATTGAATTGTGAAAAAACAAATAGGCACTAATATGTTCATTTCATTTCATTTAAATTAAAGTGTGCTTGGAAGTATAGAATTGCAAAATCATGCCTGAATTACATAAATTGACAATCTCAGGTTGAAATAAAAACGGATGTGGTATAAAATTCCTTGGAAATGAAGTGGTTTTTTGAGCAGACCTCCAAAATTTCTAATGAAATTGGATCACCTCTTTGAGTGCATCTGGTCTATGATTGTGTGATTATTATTTGTGTTATGCATTAGAATTAAAATATGCACCTAATTATGACAAATTTCAGCAGAATATTTATAGCATTAATTATTTTTATATATACACTAAATATAATCTTGATTACTACTGTATGGTATGTTAGTTACTGACAAGAAAAAAGATTACAATTTGATGATTATCATAAATGATATAATTAATGTATTGACTTTATGTACATTTTAAGCACAGTGGTGTCAAGTGATGCAAACTGCATTCTAGTTTGGTGCTCAAACATCAGCGTTCAATATATGCTCAAGCCCACATTTCCCGGAAATTTAATTCACATCCGTTCCAATATGTAGCCTAAGTGACTGTCTGGTACAGTCATGAATTTTGGTGCCATTTGGAGATAGCATTGAGTACTGTACTTTGATTGTCTGTTCTAGAAGGAATGGACTATCACATCATATTCAACTTTGTATGTGTCTGGCATCATTATGTACATTTACATTTGTACAAAATATATTGTACACTCATTTTCATCCTAATATCCTCAGGCAATATTATGTTTAGCATAAAGCATGTTAATGTATCTTGGAGGACAATGTTAAATATCCTTTGTGAAACCATATAGAATTACAGCTATCTCTCATATATTAAGTAAAACCGCTTTGTACATTTTGTCCGACGAAACAATTTTGGCTGGATATAATTTGCACAAAAACTGGCAGTTGTTGGATGTTATATAGAGAAGGCTGCCCTGTGGCAGTATTACAAACCTACTGTGTGTGTACAGTAGTTAGTTAGCTTTCTGTCTTTCATATGAGCAGGAAGTAATACTTAGGAGAATCTCAAATTGAAAAGCTACCCAAGACAACTATTGCAGCCACATTAGATCTGTTAATAAAGATCAACTAATAATTCATATAATAATTTTTTGTATCCCAGAGAAATTTATATATTTTGCAGTCTATATTGTCAGTAAATTCCCAAATTACACCTTTGATTGGACTTTTCCAATCATGTACCTGATTCTCCAAACATGTATATCCATTATACCCTATTAAAAATCTTAAATTTTTTTAAACAGTTTTCATCCTTTGTATTTCTGAATTTGTTTGGTAAACTTTCCATTAATTATTAATGTGTTTATCAAGGAAGTTCAAGAACACACAGTACAAATATATAACTCAAGAGGTTAAATATGGAAAAGTCATAGTTGTACAGCAACTAGCATAAATTCCAAATTTGATCCCTAGTATAGCTGCTGTACATAGCTGTGAATTTTTTTGAATAGATACGGACTTGCATTTTATCATAAATTATAACTGGCCTAGTTAGTTGATGGAATGCAACGTGGTTTAGTATTCAGATGACCAAAATCATCCTGTCTCTGCTCTCGTATTATTATTCAGGGTAATATCTACCAACTGTTGACTATTGTAAAATACAATAGTCAACAGAAATGTTCTGTAAAACAGAGCCAAGCTTTGAAAGCTATTTAGCACTTTTGATAATTTCTCACCTATGCCTAACTTTAAACACTTGTGAATGTAGTAATTAAAGTTACACCATGAATTAAAAATTAAACAAGTTTATTAGAGGAGCATAGGTCTCGGTAAATTACATTGTATAAGTGGATGCTATCAAGTCAAATTGATACTGATGGCCTATACTGTATTTATAAAAAATCATCTACATTACATTTAATTCCCAAAAAGCAATACGTATGGGCTGTAATGATTTAATTAGTATCTAGAATTTTACCTACTTTCATACATTACTGCTTAAAACTGTCCTGAATTGCATCTTTTATTATAAAAATATATTTTAATTGAAAACATGAGATTAATACAGTATATGAATTTGAATGTTATTCATATACTCTTCCAAAGTAAGAGTATATGAATAAGTTTCTAAACATTTGATGTACAAAGCAAGTTTCACAGTAATGGGACACAGACATTCAACTAGTTAATGGGTATTATTTTGGCAAATCTCATTTCTGCATCTAGTTCTTTAACCACACACTATATCCTAGTTGTATGATGACTAGGATCTAAGCAGAATCACATAATTTGCAAAACTCATGTTATCCTTAATCATAACAATCTTTAACAAATTGATTGAGCACAACGACATTTTCTTGACTACGGAAATGGTAAATTTAGCGTCTTACGAACCAACCTCTCTGCAATTTTATTGAATTGTTCCCTGTCATCTCTCCACATCTTTGCTGCATCAACATTTGCACTGCTCTCATCATTTGGTTCTGAAATAATTAAAATGTTAATTATTAATTTTAATGCAAGTTAAAATTTTTTATATTTTTAAATAGGGAGGATCACGCATGCAACATCTTTTGCTAGTATAATCCAAATAAACAATTAGCACTTCGGGTATGATCATAACTGTTATACTATTTCTTTACAATCTCCTGCCAACAGATACACAACTGAAATACAGTATATATATCCAGTTTTTAAGTAATACAATAAAAATAAGCTGTTAACAATTGAAGAGGCATATAGTGCAACCTCAATTCAATGAACTATGGTCCCAAACCCAATTCACTACAATGGAGGATGCTTCTAGGATGCATTTCCAACACCTCATGAGCTAATTTTTCTTGGCAAAATTTTCATTTCAACCTATAATATAATAGACAACTACCAAATGAACACATCTGTAAAAAACTGAACCACATTTAGCTCATTTCTCACGTCCCTAGCCTAAAAACTGATTTTTAAAAGGTATCGGGGCCATCCCTGAATGAACAAAAATCATAAAATTTTGTTTTAAATATTCTCAATAGCTTTCCCAAGGCTCCAACTATTTCTTGTGATGAGAAAATCAATGGGAGCTCTTTGGTGACTCAAAACCCACTGCCAACAGCCTGCCAGCTGCCATCTCTACCACTATCCAATCCTGCCTCTCCTAAAGCCATTCCAAGGTTTACACACAGAAATCACGCTAACATAATATATATTATCTTGGATTGACTTCAGGAGTGTCCTCCAGTCTTCTTGATTCAGTAGAATTCCAGGTTGTATAACTAATACTAGGTCAGGGTGGCACGGTGGGATGCAGCACCCAAATAAATGCCATTGAAGAGATAAGGAAATATTTGCCAACACAAATACCTATGAAACTCACCTGCCAGCATTGATACCACCGAGAGTAATATTTTCTCTACGCTCTGAACCGGACTCCATCTTTCGGCACTGGTCTCGTAACCCATGGGGTCATCACCTGGTGCATGAAGGATGGAGATACACACTCTGCCATCTGAGTAAACTGGTGAAGTGAAATAAAGTCTTGAATAACCTGGACTCTACCAATGATTTAATATAAAAATTCAACAATACTGTACAGTATAAAATAAATGACTAGGCATTTATTTTACCATTTTGTGCTGCATCTGAAGCGTTTCTGAAATGTACATTAAACATGTAGTAGTACAGTCGGGTTCGTTCTCAACGCACAATCGACAATTCTGGGTTCGAATCCCGGGCAGGACAGAAATGGTTGGGCACATTTTCTTTTACCTAATCTACTATTTGCCTAGGAGTGAGTAGGTATTCATGAGTCAACTTCTTGTGAGGTTGCATCCTTGGCAGAGTCAGTAATTTGTGTTTGGGGGGAGAGGGGAAGGGGGACCTCTATGAAAGCCAAATGAGTATGAACACACTCTGGCTTCCTGTCCCCTGACACAATAAATTTTTATGAACTGTGTTTTTTATGACTGACTAAATATTGGAATAGTGAGGAATATTAATATGTAAATTCACAGTTTTTGCTTTTTTTCTGCTTGTTTACATATCACTTCTAACATAGTACCCAGCCAATAGAATATATTTTAAATTTATTAATTAATGGTCAAGATAAACCACCCAGGAAAAGTTGTACTGTACAGTTCTATAAATTACCTTCCTTGTGAAGCTGAATAAATGTAAAAAGACAATGTTCTTGGATTAATACATTTCTGTCAAAGTTATGAAAATACCTGTAGGTTAAATTTGTGTGTAGCTATAAGCCTTTTCATTTGTTTATGAATTATGAAAGACTGCTGTAAATCCCACTTTCACACAAAACAAGCTCTTTCCTATAATTCAAACAGTATATGTATTAAAGTGTACTCAAGTTAGTCATGAAAGCCATTTCAATAATCATTAACTATCAACAAAGCATTGTTACAAGGATGTGACCATAAAGGGTTTCTTGGTAATTTTACATAAAACTTTAGTTATTCTATAAAATTAGTTATTTTTTAACTACAGGAATTAGTTATTCAATATTTAAATCAATAGGTTCCCATGTACAGTAGTTGCAGCCCTTCTCCCCTCCCCCCCCCCAAAAAAAAAGAAACAACTCACTGTTCGGATGAAACATTTCACAGGTGAACTGCATCTTTGGGGGTGATAGAGGATAGTCTGGAGGGAAAATCAACTTGGCTGGGAAGACTCCACACTCAAAGCAAGTTCCTTCAGGACCCCTTAAAATATTCACATTTGTGAGAATACTATTTCATATATATAATAGAGTACAGTATTTATCAATTCATATATATATATATATATATATATATATATATATATATATATATATATATATATATATATATATATATATATATATAGAAGGGAGTACCACCTCTAGCTGGAAGAAGGGGGACCCATAGCCTCGGAGGAAACCACGCATAACGCATTAGAGGGAATGTTTAGATCCCCTCCAATAATAATATATATATATATATATATATATATATATATATATATATACTGTATATATATACTGTATATATATATATATAGAGAGAGAGATATGTAGTTTAGTTCCCTTGGTAATGTTAAATTCTAAAGCCTATAATGCAAAGGATGGTTCTTCACATCTCGAAACACTATTTTGAGCTTTAAGTACTTATTTGTTAAATTTTACCTGGTGTTTGTTAGTATATATGATATGCATTTAACTGTATATTATTTATACAGTATCACATTTAAGAAGTATGAAGCACAATTTTGTACAGTAATATAATTCAAGACAAAGCAGCTATACAGCATTATCTGTGATACCCATATCAAAAGGGTATAAACAACTCACATGATTAGTGCCTCCCATTCAAAAAAGTTCTCTTCATTGGTTGGGCCAGCAATGATACCTTCAGGAGGGTTTAATGTCAATTCTGAAATAGCAAGATTAAGGATGTAATGTGTATTAGATAAATGTCTAATAGTTAAACAAAATGTAGAGTGAATTAATATATCAATGAATTTTAGCAGCATCCAATGGTATAGTGGTCAGAACCCACCCACTTGCCTCTGCAAACAAAAGAATGACTCTGGTGGGACAATTAGGTACAGTTCCTTCACTAATTCACCTCTGTGCCCACTGCTCTACAGTCTTACATACAAATAACAACATTCCATGGATCCATAAACAAATATAAACAAATAATTATAATTAGCACACTACTCTATGGGCCTGCATGAACTCCAAAGAAAAAAGGTACATCAAAGACATGAGGTCCTGATCATGAAGATGAAACTGAAAAAGATCCATGGGCAAAAGTGAGGAATTAAGAAACCACTGCACATTAGACACTCCCAAGGACTTCTCAAACCTCAAACATGTACAGGGGGTGAAAAGCACCCAGCATCCTACAGTACTTCAAGATCCCCATAAGTCCTCAACACCCCAGGAACTGATGGCACTGGAGCAGAATCAAATTCCATGCCAGATATAAAAGACAAAAAAAAAAAAAAAATCTCCGAATGGAGAGGGATCCATAGCCAAAACTCTTACATACCCGAGTAATAGAAGGCAATAGATTGACTATCTTCACCATTAAAAATGGTGAAGATAGTCAATCTATCACCACCAATCAATCACCAATCAATCACCATTAAAAATGGTGAAGGGCTTGCCAGGTCCTAAGAAATACTAAATTGAAAGCCAAGAAATACCAAATTGAAATAAATCTTTCATTTCTTCACCTTAAGTAAATATGTGATTGCTGTGAATAACAGCACATTTTTCCAAGGGCCTGTACACAAATACCATAACTTTCCATGGGCCTGTATAAAAACACCACAGCTCTCCACAAGCCTGTACGCATATACCACAGCTTCCCACAGGCCTGCATACAAATACCACAGCTTCCCCAGGGCCTGTATACAAATACCACAGCTTCCCACAGGCCTGTATACAAATACCACAGCTTCCCACAGGCCTGTATACAAATACCATAGCTTCCCCAGGGCCTGTATACAAATACCACAGCTTCCCCAGGGCCTGTATACAAATACCACAGCTTCCCACAGGCCTGTATACAAATACCACAGCTTCCTACAGGCCTGTATATACATACAGTACTACAGCTTCCCACAGGCCTGTATACAAATACCACAGCTTCCCCAGGGCCTGTATACAAATACCACAGCTTCCCACAGGCCTGTATACAAATACCACAGCTTCCCACAGGCCTGTATACAAATACCACAGCTTCCCACAGGCCTGTATACAAATACTACAGCTTCCCACAGGCCTGTATACAAATACTACAGCTTCCCACAGGCCTGTATACAAATACCACAGCTTCCCACAGGCCTGTATACAAATACCACGGCTTCCCACAGGCCTGTATACAAATACCACAGCTTCCCACAGGCCTGTATACAAATACCACAGCTTCCCACAGGCCTGTATACAAATACCACAGCTTCACACAGGCCTGTATACAAATACCACAGATGTGTATACAAATACCACAGCTTCCCCAGGGCCTGAATACAAATACCACAGCTTCCCACAAAACTGTATCCAAATACCACAGCTTCTTGAAGGCCTGTATACAAATACCACAGCTTCCCACAGGCCTGTATACAAATAACACAGCTTCCCACAAGCCTGTATACAAATACCACAGCTTCCCCAGGGCCTGTATACAAATACCACAGCTTCCCACAGTCCTGTATACAAATACCACAGCTTCCCACAGGCCTGTATACAAAAAGCACAGCTTCCCACAGGCCTGTATACAAATACCACAGCTTCCCACAGGCCTGTATTCAAATAACACAGCTTCCCACAGGCCTGTATACAAATACTACAGCTTCCCACATGCCTGTATACAAATACCATAGCTTCCCCAGGGCCTGTATACAAATACCACAGCTTCCCACAGGCCTGTATACAAATAACACAGCTTCCCACAGGCCTGTATACAAATACCACAGCTTCCCACAGGCCTGCATACAAATACCACAGCTTCCCACAGGCCTGCATACAAATACCACAGCTTCCCACAGGCCTGTATACAAATACCACGGCTTCCCACACGCCTGTATACAAATACCACGGCTTCCCACAGGCCTGTATACAAATACCACAGCTTCCCACAGGCCTGTATACAAATACCACAGCTTCCCACAGGCCTGTATACAAATACCACAGCTTCCCACAGGCCTGTATACAAATACCACAGCTTCCCACAGGTGTGTATACAAATACCACAGCTTCCCCAGGGCCTGAATACAAATACTACAGCTTCCCGCAAAACTGTATCCAAATACCACAGCTTCTCAAAGGCCTGTATACAAATACCCACAGCTTCCCACAGGCCTGTATACAAATACCACAGCTGCCCACACACCTGTATACAAATACCACAGCTTCCCACGGGCCTGTTTACAAATACCACAGCTTCCCACAGGCCTGTATACAAATACCACAGCTTCCCACAGACTTATATACAAATACCACAGCTTCCCACAGGCCTGTATACAAATACCACAGCTGCCCACACACCTGTATACAAATACCACAGCTTCCCACAGGCCTGTTTACAAATACCACAGCTTCCCACAGGCCTGTATACAAATACCACAGCTTCCCACAGACTTATATACAAATACCACAGCTTCCCACAGGCCTGTTTACAAATACCACAGCTTCCCACAGGCCTGTATACAAATACCACAGCTTCCCACAGACTTATATACAAATACCACAGCTTCCCACAGGCCTGTTTACAAATACCACAGCTTCCCACAGACCTGTGTGGTGCCACAGTACTGTCGCCACTGTAACAGTACTGTCACGTGGACCTAATCCCACCCAAGAACAAGTTAAACATAACCATGTATTGAAGCGCTCAGCTGTGTGCTGGGAATAATTACGCTTATATTCCGTCATGAGTCGCTTGAGCGCCCTGCCCGCCATGGTCACCCTCACACCTCACAGCTGTTGACACCCACAACAGCTGTTCCACGGTCACTCCGTACACACCACACTTCACCTACGGGTTTTTTTTAAGCTTACTACATGTTTTAACAACTTTTAAAGTATATATTATAAAGTGTGAATGTACATATTAAATTTACAAACTATTACAATTTACGGAATATGTATAGTTGATTTTTTTGTTGGACTATTGTAATTATTGACGAAAGAATCATTATACGAAAATCCTATACGAAATGTCAGTGTCAGTGCATGGAGTGAGATTTAGCTCTTGGGACCCAACATTAAAGTTTATGTATATACGGCATTTATCTTTCTTGACCTTTTAGTTCTATATTGTATTTGGTCTTGATGTGTGACGTGTTAGGGAAGTAGTATTACATACGTAAGTGAATGTAACTATTATCAAGTAAATCAAGTACTGTACTGTACTGTACTATTAATAAAATTAATATAGTACTACAGAAAGGTGGTAATTATAATGAGAAATGATATAGATGAATGAGTTATTCAGTATTTTAAGATAGACTAAGTAAACCTGTTAAGGTTAATGAAGGTCTGACACCCAGGTACCTGAGTTTACCTGAGAGCCACTAACACTAGTGGACTCGATGAGGACAGGAAGCCAGCAGGTCCCCTCCCCATTTGCCTTGATGATCTTTTCCAGTCTCATTTTAAAAATTAACAGAGTTTTGATATTTACAGCTACGGCAGGAAGGCAGTTCCATGGGTTTATAACCCTGTGGGTGAAAAAGTTCTCCTGTTCTCAGTCCTACATTGTGGCTTGTTGAGCTTGAAACGCTTGCTCCTTGTTTGCATTACATAGGTTTTGAAGAAATTTTCCGGATCGACATCCTCCAAATTTTAAATTAAAAACAAAATTGCTAGACCCTTTTCAGTCTGTGCACTCCAGAAGGAAAATCCTCATTTCTTAGCCTACCACAACCAAACTATAATGCCTAGAATCTTTTTTAAAGTATCCATCATTACCCCTTATTAATTCATAATAATTTTTAAAATAAATAAATAATGAACTAGAGGAGAATCACAGCAAAAATTGCTACAGCATAAGGGTTCAATATGAAAGGGTAAACAATATCAGACCAACAGAATACTACAATACTTTGTGCAGTAAATCTCGTGGAAACTTTTAAATTAAACAAAATCGTGGATATTAATCCAGACCACTTCATTAAAATGTCAGATGTAACACATGCAAGGGGCAACAGCTACAAGCCCAACAAGTCACATTGAAGAACACAAAAAAGATGATTCTATTTTCACCCATAGGATTACCGTATAAAGCTGGTTATGGAACCAGCTACCCATTGAAGTTGAACATGCGAAGATATTACTACTGTTTAAAATAGTGTGAAAAAATTATCAGGAAAAATTTGGGTACCTTTAACAAGCTGCCAGCTTCCTGTCCCTGTAGTGGCCACTAAATAGATGGTAACTTTCAGGTAAATTTAGGCAAATGTAGTGGAGTACAGAACATTACTACTACAGTATTGTCGAATAAGAGGCATACTTAGAAAAGCTACATTGAATTTGAGAACAATAAGACCAATTATTACAAGATTAGACTTCAGTCATCATTATTATTTCTCTTTTTCTCCGTTCCTTGGGTTGAAGATATATCAGCCAAAAGAAATGAAAGAAGTACAGTACAGCATAAGAAAAGGGCTTCTTTGCCGAGTGTGGAGGAACAGCAGAGACGATATTTAAAAGTCAGTTTTGGAAAAAAAAAGATTAAGGCATTTGAGAAAAGGGAATGGCCTATTGTGGATTTTGTAGATTTTTATAGAGTGGCAAGACAGTGATTTGAAGTAGAGTACAAGATATAAAATGGGAGAAGAGACAGCAAGTTTTAAATATTTCGGGGAAGTGTAGTGCATATATATAATACTGTATACTGTTGATGAGAGAGAATATACAATAGTGCTCCAAACCCCCTGAAAATTATAAATGAAACTTTTTGGCAAGGAAAAAGGTAAAATGATCATGAGTACAAGCAGTGGAATTTTTTTTTAGGAAAAAAATATACCCATCTGACATTACAGATGCTACACCGATCTGTAATGTCAGATGGGTATAGCATTGAGGATGCACAGTGCAGTACAGTATATGTGAGATGTGGCAAGAGTTAAAAGTGGTTAGGGAATAAAATGTGAAGTGGTGGAGTGTGTAGAATTATATTTCACTTAGGCACTTAGGTGTTATGCATGTCGGTAGAAACCCTAAATTTTTTTAACAAGGTGTACAAGGGATAAAACAAGTGGATCATATGATGAAGGAAGATGGCCAGTAATTTGGAATGGAAGAGTAGAATGACATATAAAGTATTGGAGTAAGAGGCCAGATATCTTAATTAAAAGGGCAAAAAGTTTACATGGTGATGGTTTTGTGGATAATGGGAATAAATAGGTAGCTCCTGGAGAAAGTAAGGTGTCAGGAATATAGACATATATAACAATTACACTCGTCCATTTATAAATCATACTACATACATTGAAGAACCAGTGCATCATGCATTATTTAGTGTACAATGCATTATATTATTTGGCATCAATGTAATACTTTATAACAGTACTGAAATGCAGTACAAACTATTATGATGAAATAAAACATAATGAGAATGTTACATTTTAATGGAGAAAACTATACATTATCCACAAACACATGTAATTTAATCTTAGATACAGTACTTGACAATCTATTTTCTTAAGTGTTACATTTAGACAATCAACACAGAAAAAAGTTCCAATAAGCAGTATGTAAATAACAATAACAAGGCAGTCGCAAGAGTAATATAGTAACAACTTATCAACACAAATTATAAGTTATCTTCTTGTTTTATACAAACAGTTTGGTATATTTAATATAATTTAAAAGTACAGTACTGTACTCATTCCTCATATAGTCTCCATTGTTAGACCACCAAAAAAAAGTGTCAACTAAAAAATACAGTACTGTACACCTGATTAAAGCTTATTCCCGTGGAATTTACTTAAAAATGCATTGCTATACAGTACATCATTCCTAAATATATTTAGAAATTATTTCCCATAAGACATGTAACTTATTAAACTGTACAAATATTCAGACACCAAATGATCCAGCTTATAGCAAAATTTCTAAAGGTTTAATACAACCACAATTATCAATAACTGTCTTATTACCAATTTTGATAAATTTATAACAAAAATATACTTACTAATTACTATGCAGTTCAATGTACAGCAAAATACTGTACACAAAATTCCTCAAAATAATATAGCATTTCTTGTAACTTGCAATGTATCTTGTAATAAATATACATGAACAGTATTTCCAAATATAATTTTTTATATAGATTTTCAGATTTCAGCACATAAGACAAAATCTAATAACCTAAAACCTTGTTTCTGATGAATAATTCATATAATAAGTTATTGTAAACTACAGTATTGAAATTATGTTGCAAACAAATTTGTTTCTATTCATACTATGATTTATCCTTGCGTTTATTTGGACGAGATCTCGCTTTAGGCTGGTTACCCTGGCACTGAGTATTGGTACTGCCACCACCAAATAATGAAGTCATTATCTCTGAGAGTTCCGGAGTGTCCATCTTCGGCATTTGAATTTGTTCCATTTCTTTGCGTGTTTCTGGATCATTAAGCCTGGGAAGGATCATCATCAGTGCTAATGGCAGAACAGTCATTAGTACCATAGGGTTCATAAGGGTATCAGTTAAGCGCCACTGCTCTCGTTGCAGAAAATATCGATATGGTCCAACAGATTTCATACGAAGAGGATGAGGCATCTGTAAAGAGTACAGAGGCATCTGTAAAGAGGAATTTAGTATTTGCAATTAAAAAACTCTTGATGTTACATATAACAAGCTTCAGAGAAAGATTTTCAATTTGTTCTAAGTTCTGGCTACACTGTAGCCTCATTAATACTTTATAAAGAATTTGATTACAGTTTTATTTAGATAGACAGCAATTTGCCCGTTTCCCCCAAATCCCTCTTCAGACAAAAGAAATCAAAAGGTCAATGTTTTGAGTTCTATAGCCACTAATCAGGTAATAATATAATTCTTTCAACTACAGTATTCCCTTTTATCAAATATGGATAATATATTATTAAATATGATGTGATGTAAGGAAGACCAAGTTGTAGCAATCTCACCTGTACAACATTTGATGGCTGAATGTGATTGACAGCACGGGCTCTTATTTTTCCCTTGGAGTTTATATCAACTCTTAGAGGCTCATAAATGTAGGTGGGGTTCATGACCTGAACAACATAGGAGCCTGATGGAACATTGTTAATCACAAAGGACCCATCTTCTCTGAAATATAATAAATAAATAAATAAATAAATAAATAAATGTTTATTCAGGTAAGGTACATATATACAAGAGGTTTTACAAAAATTGATAGATTTATAGATAGAGCTAGTACATACAATGCCTAAAGCCACTATTACGCAAAGCATTTCGGGCAGTATATATATAATTAGGTAATTAATAATACAATACAGGCATTGTACACATAGCTTGTTTATTGTTAAAATTTTACATATTGCCAGAGTATGGTATGTTAGGTTGGACTAGTTAAGTATTAATACAAAAAAAAAATGTGGATGAACCATCTAAATTATGAAATGATCGAAATTCATTGAAATACCAGTTGTGATATATTATACAAGATATCGTACTCTATTTCCAAGCTTTTGACTGAAAGGAACCAACCCAACATGTGCGACTTCAGTTGTAACTTACCTGAGAAAGCCATAATGTCCGCCATTGGTAAAAACCTTGGTACTGGCGAACCATTCGGCAGGACTGACGAGTGACGAGTCTGGCCTCACCACTCGACCCTCAATTCTGTACCGCTCAGCTCCCACGCTGAGGTCGTCCTCGCCATTACTATACACTCCGCTCAAGACACACAACCCCATCAACGCCTTCCATAGCAGTTTTCGAGTCATAATTGTGGAAATACGGCCTGGCTGGAGAGAGGACAAGATGACATCAGCTTGTTGACACACCTGGTCTCATCGTCTGCCAGCAGCGTCAGCCATCCACTCCTCAAACACCAAACCACAAACAATAATTAATGAATTGCGTAATACTATATCACCAGCAATTTTCTATTATTAATTAATTATGTCATGAAAGTGTTAGTTTGGGTAGAAAATGGGTGTTTAGTAATAAATATAATCAGTATACATTTGTCGTCTGCTTCGGAATTGACGACCCTAAGAAATTTATGACAAATATTATCACAGACATTTAGTAATTCTTAATGGCTGCTATGAACACACACATAACCGCCATACCATAACAAAGCAAACCTTATGTCATACCTATTGTAATATGGCTACAATATGTCTATATCTATAAGGAAAATGATTAATATAATTTAATACAAGTCTACTCTAGACTCGTCCTGAATTTTTGATAAGGCCCTCGGTGTGTGTCCTCTATGGCAATCAATGGGCATGTTGACGTCAATTTCACACCATATAGGCGTTCCAGCCCACTCAGGAAGGTTAGTTGACACCAACATGCATATCAATTAGTATTTAACAGTGGTGCAACCTTGTCTGGTGAGTGTTATAGTGTGTGACAACCTGATTGGCGAGTTGATTAGTTGCTCTGACCTTTGACCCGCAAGTTGTTAATGTATTTATACTGCCAGAGTACAGTCTGGGTTATAATTCATTTATTTAGTTATTTACCACTATATAATATTGTATAATTATAAATGAAGAGGTAAGGAAGTTATGTAATGTAGCTTCTGTGACTGTCAAGCAGTATAATAACCTTTTTGAGCTTGCAACCTTAAACAGAATATATAAATCTACCTTTGGTAAGTTTTTTACGGAAAATGAGTACAGTATTTGGATGAAAATTGCCAGAATGAGGGACTTAAAATGATGTGATTTGAATTTTGTGGTCAGTGCTTAGTTGAGCACACGTTCATTGGACCAAACAAACTGAAAGATGTATGTTATCGATTGATTTTCTTGAGAATGAATCAATTTAGATGCTTCAAATGCACCAAATCTGATTTATTATTATAACAACATAACAAATCATACAGACACACACATGTTTCCCAAGGCTCCCACCCCCTCCCCTCTTCCCCAGTTTGCCCTGGGGAGGGGGGGGAGGGGGAAGACCTCGATACAAGCCTAAAATATATGTATAGGGTTCCTGTCCCTGACAGAATGAATTAAACATTATTTACTTTGGCATAATAATGTTTCTCTGTTGCAGAATGCTGCTGTTGGTGCTTGGAGTGCTGGGTGTGCTTCTAGGTTCCCCAGGTCCTTGTGTGGGTAGTGAAGTGTTGTCTTCTCAGCTCTTCATTCTTCCTCTCTCACACCAAAACTTTAGTTTTCTGACTCCAGGTGAGATTGATAAAACCATATACTTTTCTTTATGCCTCATATGGTAGATCATCAAGCATTCTATGAACATTTCTCATTAATCAATATTCAGTACTGTATTGGTTTTAGTATATCAATTTTAAAACATTTTCTTATTTACAAATTTAAAGCATATGTTATTAAGGAATGCATTCCTGTGTTTACTAGCAAAACTGGCAACAGCTTGCCTTCGGACTATCTTGCTGTGGCATGCCCTCGGAGCATTTTGTGGTGGCATGCCATGGAGCATCTCGCTGCAGCATGCCCTCGTTTACCCTTAAAGCCCCTCACTGTGGGGCTTTAAGGGTAAAAGAAGCCCCTCGCTGTGGCGTGCCGTCGGAGCCCCTCGCTGTGGCGTGCCGTCGGAGCCCCTCGCTGTGGCGTGCCGTCGGAGCCCCTCGCTGTGGCGTGCCGTCGGAGCCCCTCGCTGTGGCGTGCCGTCGGAGCCCCTCGCTGTGGCGTGCCGTCGGAGCCCCTCGCTGTGGCGTGCCGTCGGAGCCCCTCGCTGTGGCGTGCCGTCGGAGCCCCTCGCTGTGGCGTGCCGTCGGAGCCCCTCGCTGTGGCGTGCCGTCGGAGCCCCTCGCTGTGGCGTGCCGTCGGAGCCCCTCGCTGTGGCGTGCCGTCGGAGCCCCTCGCTGTGGCGTGCCGTCGGAGCCCCTCGCTGTGGCGTGCCGTCGGAGCCCCTCGCTGTGGCGTGCCGTCGGAGCCCCTCGCTGTGGCGTGCCGTCGGAGCCCCTCGCTGTGGCGTGCCGTCGGAGCCCCTCGCTGTGGCGTGCCGTCGGAGCCCCTCGCTGTGGCGTGCCGTCGGAGCCCCTCGCTGTGGCGTGCCGTCGGAGCCCCTCGCTGTGGCGTGCCGTCGGAGCCCCTCGCTGTGGCGTGCCGTCGGAGCCCCTCGCTGTGGCGTGCCGTCGGAGCCCCTCGCTGTGGCGTGCCGTCGGAGCCCCTCGCTGTGGCGTGCCGTCGGAGCCCCTCGCTGTGGCGTGCCGTCGGAGCCCCTCGCTGTGGCGTGCCGTCGGAGCCCCTCGCTGTGGCGTGCCGTCGGAGCCCCTCGCTGTGGCGTGCCGTCGGAGCCCCTCGCTGTGGCGTGCCGTCGGAGCCCCTCGCTGTGGCGTGCCGTCGGAGCCCCTCGCTGTGGCGTGCCGTCGGAGCCCCTCGCTGTGGCGTGCCGTCGGAGCCCCTCGCTGTGGCGTGCCGTCGGAGCCCCTCGCTGTGGCGTGCCGTCGGAGCCCCTCGCTGTGGCGTGCCGTCGGAGCCCCTCGCTGTGGCGTGCCGTCGGAGCCCCTCGCTGTGGCGTGCCGTCGGAGCCCCTCGCTGTGGCGTGCCGTCGGAGCCCCTCGCTGTGGCGTGCCGTCGGAGCCCCTCGCTGTGGCGTGCCGTCGGAGCCCCTCGCTGTGGCGTGCCGTCGGAGCCCCTCGCTGTGGCGTGCCGTCGGAGCCCCTCGCTGTGGCGTGCCGTCGGAGCCCCTCGCTGTGGCGTGCCGTCGGAGCCCCTCGCTGTGGCGTGCCGTCGGAGCCCCTCGCTGTGGCGTGCCGTCGGAGCCCCTCGCTGTGGCGTGCCGTCGGAGCCCCTCGCTGTGGCGTGCCGTCGGAGCCCCTCGCTGTGGCGTGCCGTCGGAGCCCCTCGCTGTGGCGTGCCGTCGGAGCCCCTCGCTGTGGCGTGCCGTCGGAGCCCCTCGCTGTGGCGTGCCGTCGGAGCCCCTCGCTGTGGCGTGCCGTCGGAGCCCCTCGCTGTGGCGTGCCGTCGGAGCCCCTCGCTGTGGCGTGCCGTCGGAGCCCCTCGCTGTGGCGTGCCCTCGGAGCCCCTCGCTGTGGCGTGCCCTCGGAGCCCCTCGCTGTGGCGTGCCCTCAGAGCCCCTCGCTGTGGCGTGCCCTCGGAGCCCCTCGCTGTGGCGGGCCCACGAAGCACATTGCCATGGCATGCCCTTTGAGCACCTCACTGCCACATGCTCTTGGAGCATCTCGATAAATATTCTTCATTGCTAGTACAGTACTGTACTGTACAATGGTATTTCAAATAAATTGGTTGATTCAAGAACCTTACGACATACTGGCGTGCCGTCGGAGCCCCTCGCTGTGGCGTGCCGTCGGAGCCCCTCGCTGTGGCGTGCCGTCGGAGCCCCTCGCTGTGGCGTGCCGTCGGAGCCCCTCGCTGTGGCGTGCCGTCGGAGCCCCTCGCTGTGGCGTGCCGTCGGAGCCCCTCGCTGTGGCGTGCCGTCGGAGCCCCTCGCTGTGGCGTGCCGTCGGAGCCCCTCGCTGTGGCGTGCCGTCGGAGCCCCTCGCTGTGGCGTGCCGTCGGAGCCCCTCGCTGTGGCGTGCCGTCGGAGCCCCTCGCTGTGGCGTGCCGTCGGAGCCCCTCGCTGTGGCGTGCCGTCGGAGCCCCTCGCTGTGGCGTGCCGTCGGAGCCCCTCGCTGTGGCGTGCCGTCGGAGCCCCTCGCTGTGGCGTGCCGTCGGAGCCCCTCGCTGTGGCGTGCCGTCGGAGCCCCTCGCTGTGGCGTGCCGTCGGAGCCCCTCGCTGTGGCGTGCCGTCGGAGCCCCTCGCTGTGGCGTGCCGTCGGAGCCCCTCGCTGTGGCGTGCCGTCGGAGCCCCTCGCTGTGGCGTGCCGTCGGAGCCCCTCGCTGTGGCGTGCCGTCGGAGCCCCTCGCTGTGGCGTGCCGTCGGAGCCCCTCGCTGTGGCGTGCCGTCGGAGCCCCTCGCTGTGGCGTGCCGTCGGAGCCCCTCGCTGTGGCGTGCCGTCGGAGCCCCTCGCTGTGGCGTGCCGTCGGAGCCCCTCGCTGTGGCGTGCCGTCGGAGCCCCTCGCTGTGGCGTGCCGTCGGAGCCCCTCGCTGTGGCGTGCCGTCGGAGCCCCTCGCTGTGGCGTGCCGTCGGAGCCCCTCGCTGTGGCGTGCCGTCGGAGCCCCTCGCTGTGGCGTGCCGTCGGAGCCCCTCGCTGTGGCGTGCCGTCGGAGCCCCTCGCTGTGGCGTGCCGTCGGAGCCCCTCGCTGTGGCGTGCCCTCGGAGCCCCTCGCTGTGGCGTGCCCTCGGAGCCCCTCGCTGTGGCGTGCCGTCGGAGCCCCTCGCTGTGGCGTGCCGTCGGAGCCCCTCGCTGTGGCGTGCCGTCGGAGCCCCTCGCTGTGGCGTGCCGTCGGAGCCCCTCGCTGTGGCGTGCCGTCGGAGCCCCTCGCTGTGGCGTGCCCTCGGAGCCCCTCGCTGTGGCGTGCCCTCGGAGCCCCTCGCTGTGGCGTGCCCTCAGAGCCCCTCGCTGTGGCGTGCCCTCGGAGCCCCTCGCTGTGGCGGGCCCACGAAGCACATTGCCATGGCATGCCCTTTGAGCACCTCACTGCCACATGCTCTTGGAGCATCTCGATAAATATTCTTCATTGCTAGTACAGTACTGTACTGTACAATGGTATTTCAAATAAATTGGTTGATTCAAGAACCTTACGACATACTGAGATAACAATGGAGAATGTAATTACTTTTTTATACTACAGTAATATCAATTAGAAAAGTAGATCTTGTTGAATTTTTATATTTTAATTGGTGCTATAAATTCAAATTACCCTATCCAGATTTATCTTGTTTATCCAGACAAGATAAATTAAGATAAACAAGATTGTTCAACTATCCAGACTTGTTGAACTTGGTTCCAGTTCGGGTGAGATGCCCAAATAGTATCATGTTTACAATACTTTCAGATAATAAAGAATATAAAAGTACTTAAAGATTAAAGAATATATTTTTCTTGCATATTTATTTGTGTACTTTATACAAATTTACTTAGTATTTTAATTATATAAGTAGTGTACAGTGTAGAATAATTTTCATAAATTTGGTAGAAAACATGAAGACGTACATTATTTTAATAATAATGATTAACTGCTAATAGTTACCTTAGAAGAAAGTTACAATTTGTGTATCCAGTATTACAAGAGTAGGTGAAATACATTTTTGCAAAACCCCTTGATGATAAACAATTATAGTCGAACCTAATCAAGTATAGGGCCCAGAAAAGTGTTGTAGTATGTGCCTCATTTGTTCTTCAAAAAGCAAATTACTGTACTTGATGACCTTTACTTACTCAGGTGTAACTTACCGACCCAGTTTACGAGACATGCCAGATCTTCCCAGCTGGCTTCACTACACGTACTCTCCTGCTGTGCGCACAGGCTTTGTGTATGGCGTCCCACCAGAAAACATTAGAGATTTTGAGGTATATATCAATATGAATAATCTTTCATTTACAAATATTTTATGTATTTATGTGTGTGTGTATTTAATTAGACAAATGGATAGGGGCCATTGTGCTCCTTCAAGTTCAAGATCATGGTCTGCATGATTCTAGCTCGCTGATTTCTTTCCTTGTCCTTCTTTTTAAAGATGACACAACCATGTTGCTTGTCTGTCAAGTGTTGTTTCCATACCTTGTCTTGTCTTCTTTGCTGTTTAAGATTCTTATTGGCATGTTCTGTTATTGACAAAGTTAAGGGATTTCACGAGGGTTTTGAACTGAATCTAGCTTCTAGTATTTTTCACTTGCTTTAGAGTGGTACTGTATTACCATATGTATACTTGCTCTACAGGTTGGTGTTTGTTGAATTTTGCTTTGTTTGATACTTGCTTTATACATGTTCTAGATGCCTGGAGGTGCCTGCTAGTTTTTATTATTTTTATTTATTTAAAAGAATGGGTTGTGGCAGTACATACATTGGTGATTAAATGGTACGTTCTTTCAAAGCAATTAACAGGCAGCATTTCTGACAGGTCATTGCCTGAAACAACACGGGCAGCATTGGAAATCCCAGATCCCACCATCACAGAGGTTGTCTTGATTGGGATGGATGTGGGATACCTTATTACCAAGGTTGACATTCAAGCCACTTGCTTCCCGTTTGAACTTTGTGACAAGGAAGAATTACCATTTTTATTGGATGCTTGTGGACCTTCTAAGCATGCAAAACTTTGATGCTCTGTCACCTTTACCCCCACTGCATGATGTGATGTTCAAAGATCCAGTGGCTTTTTACATGAGGGAATAACTGAGTAATGCAGAAAAAAAAGTCTTCATATTGGACTAGTGAAATTTGAAGCCTTATTTTCTTGTTTTGCTATTATACAATATATTAAAATAAAAATGTTCTTATAATTGTTAGTATTTTTATGTAAAGTATATTTAATAACACTGAACTGCAGTAGGTTCTAAGGATTATATAAATTACTGATGTGAACTGAGTAACTAATTGTAGGACTTGTTTATCCAACAGCTAGAGGTGATAGCTAGAGACAAGCACACATATGAGACATCTTATCAAGTGTTCAAAATGAATGTTTTAAACCAATCCCGTAAGTAATCTCTTGCCTATGTCATTTTCGATATACTGTACTGATATTTAGAATAATACATATTTTTTTATGCAGCTTAATGTGTAAAACCCACTATATGGAAGCTATTTGCTTTAATTTTGGTATAGCAGCGTTTATAATGCACTTTAAATTTGCAACAGGTAAGCCATATGAGGTGCGTTTCAAGATACAAAATATGAATGTTGACGAGTTGCTGGTTGGAGGGCGTTGGGACCGACTTCACCAGGTGATAAGTAATGACCTGTGGCAAGAGAGCACAGATGACTTGACAGTGACATCTCTTGCCTCTGCTACACAACGTGGTGATAGGTTACCTGCAAGCCCAGATGAGAAAGAAGGGCAAGTGCCATAGCTTTAGTTGGTATTCATTGAACTGATGTGTACATTGTGTGCTGTACCTGCATTAGTTCTTTATTTATGTAGGTTGTTCTTATCCTATTAATGGAAACCTTTTAAGCAGAAACATGTTCCATGTGAAAGTGCTTATGTATGCACCCCAAATCTGCACAAATCAAAATAAGTGATGACCTTTCGATCTGTTTTGAAACATTTAATAATGTTTGTGTTTTTGATGTAGACAATGAAGTATTGTCTTCCCTGATATGTGCTGTATAATATGTTGGAAGTACTATACTGTCAGATAAGCTGTTTGAAGCAAAAATGCACTTTCACAAGAGTAACAATGGAATAAGTACATTTATGAATGGGATGGCTTGTACTTTGTTAAAATAATATAATTGTTTTGCTTGTTTAAATTGTTAAGATGACACACTCTTAAATATGCTTATTTTCTCATACTGTATTTATACATTAGTATTATTCTAATAACCTGAAATGTTACAGGTGAAACTTGTTTTTTTTTGTAAATCAAGAGGAATATTTATTAATTATGGCATTTTATTGTTTAATTATAGTAGTTAATATGAATTGACAGCCCAAAGAAATAGCACACTTATGGTATGTCATTTGTTAAATTTGTAACCCATTCAATCTTCCTTTACAGAGTGTATGTGAGTTATGGAAGCTCGGTGCCTTTCTCTGCAGCTTTACTTGAATTAGAGAAGGAAGTTGAGCCTTTGTGGCACCACCAACCATGTCCATTGTACTTCAAGAAAACTTCTTATGAGAGATTTTTCCAGCAACAAGGTTTTGCCATTGATTGGTGTAGTTTCAAACTGGTAAATACCTTATTAGCATTAAGAATGGATTTGGGTATACTAACATGATGTGAATAGCAATGAATGGTGAGGTTAAGTGACAAGGTAGGGTGAAATGTTTGATGATGGTACTGTACTACATTATATTATGCCTTATAGATACTGTACAAAGAAGTGATTATAGAAAGAATATTACTAATATTTTGTTCTGCCAATGTTCATAAAAGTTAAGAATTTATATTAGTTTTAATCTAAATCAATAACAATGTTCTCTGTTATAGCATAACAACAAAAAGACCACCATGATTGGAGACGATGCCACCGGAGAAGATGAGGAACCCAAATCTCCTGTAATCTCTGCTTTGGAGAATGAGGGACGTGTATATCTTCAGAGGAGAGACCAGGTGAGACTTTTTATTAGGTGGAAAAAGACATTTGTTCATAGGTATTTTGAATGAAACTATACGCCTTAACATAAGGGAAAAAAAAAAAGAATTTGTGGACGCTCTCATCTGACCTATATTATACTGCACTCCTAAAGTTATTATAATCATCTGCTGCTTGTCAGTATTGTAGCCCATGTAGCATCAGCATTACAGGTGCCAATATACATTGACTGTACTGAGAAGACATCCCTTAGGTAACAAGTTTCTGGGTCTCCAGTCACAGAACTGTCTGCGACTAGACAACCTCAGAAGCAATACTGTACTTGCAAAATACAGAAATACTGCTTGGAACACTGGGTATGCTCAATATATATTTTTAAGTCACAAGTCAGTAAATTGTTCATAGCTACTAAGCTGGCATATGTCTGGTGTATCACATGAGCACTATACTGGTACCTAGAGTCAATTAACTATTAATAATCATTCCCTACTTAATGATCACAAAGCACAGTCAGCAGATACTGAGGAGGGAATGAAATGGTACACCCTGGGTTGGGTTAGGTGCTGCCACCTGATTATGGTGAAGCATAATTGCTTGTAATTGATGGAATAGATTACTTCACGGTACCCAGCAACGGTCACAAATGTGATGTCACTGGGCATTCTCAAGGAGCAAATGCTTGTTTCATCTGGATGAAACTTATATCCACTGATTTCCAAGTACAGGTACGGTGTGTGGCCTTACAGGAAGTGCCAAAACCCCAATGGTACTGGTACCATATATTACACATGAAGCTTTAAGATGAGCAGGATCTATAATGTTTGGGAAAAGCAGAATAAAATCCTCAGAGGTGCTTTTCACACAGCATAAGTTAATTTCATTAGAGAAATTCTCTATACCATATATAATTGAATGTGTAGAAAGTTCACATTTCTACACAAATCAACTGAATTTTACTTTGTTTTATTTTAACTATATACCCATATTAAAAATACATCTAAATGCCATCTACTGTAGATCCTATATGTTATGTAAATTTATTTATTTTTTCACTGAGTAGATTGACTGTTAAAATATATATTCTATTTATACAGGTGGAGAAGCGTTCCTACACTTTTGATGTTGTGCACACAATCCTTATTCCTCTTGTGGTGATGCTAGTTTTGCTGGGGCTCCTTACCTTGGCTATGTGCTGCCATAGGAATAATATGTAAGTGCACATCAAATTTAATATTATTCTCTTACACTGTATGTTGTCTTAACATACAGGTGTAGATGTATGATTTTGAATTTTATTTTGTATGATTTTAAAGCATACACTCACATCACATCTAACTCAGCAGGAGATGATTCAGTTAAATTAACTGACTATTCTTTGAGAATTTCTCTGTGCAGGAGGTCCCATGTTTAAAAGTTCACTTCACAGCATGATGTCTAGTCACTTGCATGTTTCTTAACTGTAGCTATCCACTTTAACTTTGTTTCAGGGTTCTCTTTCATGACATTGTCAACAGCCTTCAGAGTAGTTGTATTGTTTGCAATTATTTGGTGAAGTCTTCAGCATGATTTGGCTCCTCTAGTTAGGCCACTACTAAGATGGTGCCTTTGTGACTTTGTCTCTGGCCTAGTCCTTTGGTATTAGACTCTTTTGCTATGCACACAATGAGGCTGTGCACATTCTTGGTTGTAGGTTTTCATGCTTGGTCATCTTACTTGCCTGAGGGTTTAAAAGTGACTCTTTTTGTTTTTGCTTAGTCTGTGGCTACCTTCTTCCAAGCTATTGTCCCAATGTCAGCAGTCTCTATATGAATGCATGGTGAAAATGTGCCAATTTGTGTGTGTGTGTGTATAAAGTTACCTAATTACTTAAGTGCAGTTACAGGATTAAAGCTATGCTCATGGTGTCCCATTTTCCCAGCAAGGAAGGGATAGCAAAATACTAAAGAAATTGTTCACAACCTTTGTACTCAATTGTGCTTGCGAGGGTTTAGCTCTGGCTTTTGTGATGAGGTTATTGTGTATCGGTGACCTTTGATTGTCTAATCAGAAATTGGTCTTTCCCAAATGTTCCCAGCCAGAATAGCAGCAAAGGAGTGGGTTGCAAGACAATTTGAACTGTGCCAGGAACAGATTTATGTGCAATATAGGTGTGACATTACATTGTAGGACTAGATACAATATTTAATCACCTTTTTTGGTACTTATGTGTACAAAATAGTTATTCTACATAATGATAAACTAAAGTGAAACAGCAAGTATAAAAACCCTCTAACTTGAAACATCAGAGCTGGCACCCCATACATGCTCCCCCTCCCGATGTGTACGAAAGCAGAAAAGACTTTAGGTACAGTATTTGTGTTTTTTTTGTATTTTCTTTATTTTTATGCATACAAATGTGTAATTTTATAAGAACAAATAATTTTGTAAGGGGCACACAGGTAATGGCACCTTTGATAGCTGCACTTTAAGGGTTAAGAATGATTTGTACAATATTTTATTTACATGGAGTTTACAGAAACTTAATGCTGTGCAAATGGAAAGCTGACTGTATCAGGCTATAAGAATTTATTTGCATAACATCCATCTGTAAATATTCATTTTCATAGCTTTATTTTCAGGTCCCTATAAAAAATTTGAATCATCTGGTGTAAAAATTAGCTTCAAGGACAGTATGGTATTCTATATTTGTTCTGTGCATTTTTCTTTTACACAAGAGTCATTAGTTAACATTTTATTTCAATAAGCTTGGCTTTGATTTTTCCTGAATCTGATAAAAGCCGATTCATTAAATTTTTTTTATATTTTTTAAATAATAGAAAGGTGAATATTTAAGAAACTTGCATTTAGTTCATGTTAATTAAAGAATTGGAGTATTTTAATATGTACAAGAGAGTATTTAGTATTAATTAAGTCATTATGATATAATATTGCCATAGGTTACAAATAAGAAAGCACAGTTGCATTATTACATTTTTTATTCCACAAACTCAGGGATCAGCGGTCCAGTGACTTTTTTGATGAACTCTTTGACGATTTCCCTCGGTAAGGTATTGCAAAAGATGAGGGTACGATTTTTGTAGTATAACAGAGTAGGACTAATGTTTGGTCTATAACAAGAAAAGTGGTAACTAGACACACCTTATTGTATAAGTGCATTGTTTCTCAACTTCACTCTGGCAAAAGTGTAGGTGTGAGAATTTGATTTAAGCATGCTTTTGTAGTACTGAAGTGAAGTGAGCACTGCAAATCATATAATTCATTTTTTATTTGCAAAAGTTTTGTAAGGTAAGGTATATTTTATTATTCATGTAACCGTTCCCGAGTTCTTAATATTGTGCAGCACGAAATAAATTTTGCATCCGAGTTCTTTTAAATTTATAGTACAGTACTCTTGAATAACTAATTTTACATTAAAATCTGAGGTATTTCAGTTGGATGCTTCCTAAGACAAGACCACTGAAGGTTGCATTTAAAAGGATTATGATACTGTAATGCTGTGTGATATTTTACACCGACGCAACAGGAATCTATTCAAATGTTCTTGTCAGGTCATATTGTTGCTAAGGAAGCAGTGAAGAAAAGCTCAATCCAGGCCAGAGTGACTACAGAAGCCTTGCTCATTAGCACTCAAAAGCCTATCCAGGCTCTATTTGGAATATAAAGTAAGTCTTGCCAACTGCCAGTTTACTTATCTGGATAGACAGCACAAGCCATTCCGATACTCAGTTCTCCGACTTGAGCCCTATCACAGTCTTCCTGACTCATTTGTACAGGGTATTGTACAAATGTACAATACCCTGTACAAATAGTACCCCTGTACTATTGCAATAGTAATGTACCCTGTACTATTACAGTAGTAAAGTACCCTGAACTATTACAGTAGTAAAGTACCCTGAACTATTACAGTAGTAATAGTACATATACTGTAGTACCCTGTACTGTGTGTGATGGTTGAGCATGCTTAAGACTAGATTCATTCAAGTGCATTGCTTTCATAAGAAACAAACTTTTACTGTGCCATGGGTTTGTTGTGTACTTACTGTACTCGCCTAGTTGTGCTTGCGGGGGTTGAGCTTCGGCTCTTTGATCCTGCCTCTCAATCATCAATGAACTGGTGTACAGGTTCCTGAGCCTACTGGGCTCTATCATATCTACATTTAAAACTGTGTATGGAGTCAGCCTCCACCATATCACTGCCTAATGCATTCCATCTGTTAACTACTGACACAATAAAAAAGTTCCTTCTAATGTTTCTTTCTCTGTTGACAACAGTTGATTGGATTGCTTCTTGTGTATGTATAATTAAACTTTTGTATATTTTGTGACAACCAGCTGGGTGACCCAGTCTCTTCTTTGTTTCAATTTGGCTTGATTCAGTAGTTGGCTGCTGTTCCAGAGATTCCAATTATATTCACAGTTAATTGGTGCTTGCTCCAGGATTGGGCATTTTTGCTAATCACAATATTTTGGACACATTCTGCTCTGTGTGCAGTTTGTTTTACCTTCATCTGACTTTGACCAAATTCACACTTTGAGTGAATGTGAAGTTTATTTCTAGCTAGATAATTTAATGGTCCCATTCCAGCTCTTGTGTACTTGATTCTCCTGTGCTCTGTTTTTTTATGTAATGGAGCTATTGTCAGGAGATTGGGTTTTGGTGTGGATGCTGCCATGTGGTAGTGGAGGAATATCAGCCAGGATGTCAAACTGGCTGTTGGTTATAGCATCATTTGGCAGTACTGTACTTGTAATGTCAAATTAACTTGCTGGAAAAGATTGAGTGCTTATGAGTGGACTATGTTATCTGGGTGTTATATGTTACATATACCTAATTTTCCTACAGTGGCTCTTTAGCACAAATATGATCTGACGGGGATATTTGAAATAAGCCCTGTTGCTCCAGTCTAGAATGTCACCTTGTCTTGAAAATTACAATTCTGTCTAATGGGACCTTCAGTGATCTTGTCTTATTGAATATAAGAGCATCTTCCTCAGAAAGAAGCTTTTTCATATTCACTCAAAGCCTGACTCTATTCACTTTTATTTATTAACCTTTTTCATTTCTAGTGTGGAAAATGGTAAAATTAGTCCCAAAAGTAAAAATGAGAATTTTGATACTTTTTCTAGTAATTCTTAACTGGAGTTGGTACAGTACTATATAGGTGAATAATCCTTAATATTTACAGCAGTTGGTTTTGGTTATGTATTTCATGTGTGGCAATACATCAGCCATTGAAATACAGTAGTCTTAATTGACGAAATTAATCACATACAGTACAACATTTTCATCTTTCGTATAAAATAGTCTGTTTTACAAAAACCAGCTTCATTCAAAGTGAGCCTTCTTGATATTTCCATTAGTATTAATCTTTGCAGGATTTGTTTCTGCCAAACCATCATTAGTTACACATGTAATTATTCATTAAATTAAGAGTTGCTGAGAATCAGTCTGTGAAAACCTTTTTTGTTGCCAAAGTTCATTGTTATATTTTACCTGAATACAATAGTAACTTTTTAGTTACATTAATATCATTTTGCTCCAAACTCCCCATATGCTCCCCATATTGAGCAAAACTTTTTTTTTATATAGGTTTAAAGGTACTTAATGTTTTTGGTCATATTTTCAATATTTAAGGTTGTTTGAATACAATGACTTCTTTTTTTACTTTATTAATTAGTAATTTGTTAATAATTTATTGTGATTATATAATCCTAATACTTTGTATTACATGGTTTTTGGTGAAATATGTTGTCACTTTGTTCATTTTTAAATTGTACTGTCAAAACTTATTTCTTATTTTCTATATGGTATTTTCAAGAAAATTAAATTTTTGTCTGAATATATTAATCCTGAATTCAGTCTATTGTGTCAGCATCCCAACAGGCCAGGATATCCAGATGGTTCAGTATGCTAGCATTCACCGAGCTACAGAGGCTCTGCGCTCTCTAAAGGGTCGTGAACATTCACCTCATCCTTCCACTGCGACGACGACAACTCAAGCGGATACACTCACTCGCTCACGGACAGCAAGTCCTTCTTCCACTCTTCCTAGAAATTCCACGCTCGGGTAAGTATAGGAGTGATTTCAATTGTAAATGGAAGCACAATCACTTGGTTAGTCTTTTTGTTTTTGCTACCACAAATGTTGCTATGCATTTATACAATGCTAATCAACATAAACAAATTTTCATCTGTCCTACATTGACATGGTTAAGAGAGCTGCTGCAGTATATAGCAAGTTATTGCAAAGGTGATTGAAGTACTTTTGATGGGTAATAAATGATGATATTTTAAAGTACCGTTCATATAATTTTATTTAAGTATATTGTACAGTGAATTAAAAAAAAATTATGTAACAGTACAGTACAGGTATCATTAAATGTTAAACTCATATTGGTCAAAAAGAGAGAGTTCTGGGGTACAGTCTCATTCTGGTAGTGCCTAAGGTAAGCTCAGCTGCCCATAGAACAGGATAATGCAGCCAGGCAGGATGATGCACTGCGCTGGCACTTCAGGAAACTTTTCAACCTGTTACTTTTGGGTCATAAAGTTGCTACGGAGTCTGTAGAGAATAATTCAGCCGAGAATGAAAAGTGGCAGTTAATTCATAAAACTTAAAAGTCCCCGTTTCTTTCACATCACAACTGATTATCAAGGGAGGGCTTTGGTTAATTAACTGTCAGCTGGTCTACTTGGATATGTACATCGATTACCACAAAGTAGCAGCACCCTACATGCCTCTAGGCCCACACCCCTGGGCTACCTTTCCTGACTGTGTCATGTCATGCAGTAGGTTTGTATCAAACGTTTAGATAAGTTTGACCAAATTCATTGATAAAATCTTAGCAAAGTTTTGAGAACAGGATTCAAAGTATTTGAGCATCTCTTAAATTTGTTTTTCAGGCCTGTAATTTGGCTTTGAGATACAATAATCCTAGTTTTGCACTGCCCTTCTCATCTCAAATGTTCTCTCGCTCTCTCTTTTAATGAAATTTGTGTACCCTACAGGCAGTGCCTTGGTCCAGTCTGTGGACACAAATTATTTCACTGAGGGTAACACCTCTCCTTGTCCAAAGGCTAGATAGGCTATAGTTATCAAAGAGCCCTAGACTAACCCTCAATACCAGGCTTATTTCTCATACTGTGGTAGGACAAGCATACCTGGTGACATATAAGTCTTGATGCTGTTTTACATCCTGATGCATGGCAGGTATAACAGAGCACCATGGTCACATGTGCTGCACTCTGCTTGGTTAAGAACTGACAGATTTATCTGTTCAAATAAGTGTTACATTATGCTTTAATAATTCTTTTCTGATAATTACTTTATTTAATATTCATAATTATCAAAAGGCACCAAGCTGGAGAGACTGTAGCACAGTCATTGAATGGTAAATTAAGTATTTTATATTGCTAATGAATCCTGTTCGATTAGACTAGTGATACTTAATTCTGAGATTTGAGATTTTCTATACCAAGCACTTTGATGACCCTGCAGGGACAGTTTGAAAAGTTCCCAGTGGTGCTGATGCAGTACAATTGGATGTCCTGTTTGATTGCCTGATCCTATCATAAGGACACATGAATTATATCCTTAGGAGCAGCAGAAATATTCACTCATGTATAATTTTCATACAACTTTGTCAAATTTTTGTAGTAATCTCAGATTTTGGGAATCATTTTCTAATACAATGTTCTATTTCAGTCGTCGATTTGAAGACTACGCCACTTTGTCTCGACCTGATCCACCACCATATCAAAGAAAGTAAGTCTTGCTTAACTTAGGTTTGATTATACAGTATCATGATTTTGTTTTATACAGTATACAGAAATATGTTTATATTATACAGTATCATGTAGTGCAAATGGCCTCATATACTGTGACAGAGGTTGGAAAGTTGTGGAATATAAGGGAAGTAACTGCAGAAAAGTGGATGGAAGCGGTTAAAGTTCTTGAGGGTAGTAATTTTGATGTGCTAGATTTGTGCAAAAGCATTCTTATAAGAAGCGAAAATAAAGAGTGGAATTGGATAAGGATTGTAAGGGCAGGAGCGAGAGATTAAGAAGAGGGGGAAGGATGGAAAAGGTCGTAATGAATGAAGACTTGTATAGGGCAATGAATAACTTCTTATGGCACAGTTAATGTTACTTGGTATGAAATTTCAGTTTGAAGGAGTTAAGGAGATGGCTGTTTTGATTGCATATGCTTTGTGTGATGTCAGGCAAGGATAAATAAAGATAAAAAAAATTGTCTATTTAAAAATTTAGATTAATATACCAAGAAATTATAATCATTACTGTGAATGATTTGATTGGTAGAGTGGAAATGTGTCCTGAAAGTGACTTGACACTCTGTGATGTGCTAAGAGTCAATTATGATAGTAGCAGATTGAAATAGTTATTTCATTACTCATATTTACAGTTTGGTAGTTAGGCACCTTTTTAAGACATGTTATAGGGTGAAAACTAGCGGTTAGTTGTTGTAAGGAAATGGTAGTGGAGGGGTCATCAAGGTCAGATCTCACCATACTAGCAGCACATAATTGCAGTATGACATCAGGTGAAATAAGGGTGTTGTCATTGGGTTAATGAAAATAAATTCGGCTAGAGGAAGTTGGTGCACTTAATGCTGAGAGTGCACATGCACCCTCAGCGCACAAGTTAATTTGTTAATTTATAAATTAAACAATTTCATTTATGTTGACACAGCAATACAACAGTTTTGCTTTTGTTTCCAACATCTTAGGTTTGTTTATGGGGACATCTGGGAGTAAATTAATACTTTTAGAATGAGTTACTGTACTATGATACAAGAATATATCTGGAATGCAAACTAGGCTATTGAGAAAGTATTAATTTTTTTTTATAAAAGATTGGAAGTGTGTGAATCCCTGTAAAAAGAAACCTTCAAAACAAAAGATAGGTGTATTCCATTAACTATTCTGGTTATAAATTTAATAGCATGTTTTATTGAGAGAAATATTTGTTCAAATATTAACTTTCTTATAAAATTGTTATTGTAATTAATTTTAAATGTAGAATACTGATTTGTTATTGAAATTAAATCTATAAATAATGACTGATCAGCATAAGAATTATAATTTATTATTTTGTTCCAGTGGAACAACGCCAACTCGTTGAAAAGGAGGCGTTAAGAGTCTTCCAGAGGTGCATAATAATTTATTAACAGTGTAAGTAATGTACCTGTGTCGTAACTTAATTGGCACAATTTTATTGGAGTTTTGAGGTTACAGGTATGTATACAGTAGTTTACAAAGTTTATGGTCATATATATATATATATTATAATCTAAAATTACTGAATTGTATGTTTGGAGATAAATCAATCATACATAAGCAACAAATTTTGTATTTTAAACAAACTTGATTATTAACATCAATTTGTGAAGATCTATACTGTATGTCTAAATTTATTTTATTTTCACAAGTGAAATATATATCGAATTAAAACACTAAACGTTTTTTTCAAGTTTTTTATAATACAGTATATTTAATTCACATCTTTGATATTACAAATTAGTGTTGTAATGCTGAAACTGTTTGCATTATAACGAAAGACGATATGAGAGTTTTGAATTTGACTACAGTTACACAGTATCATACATTGGTAACAACAAAGTATTCAGTAATATTAATGTATTTCCAGTGTCATTCATACAGCATTTAGCAAAATTATTGTAAACTACACGTGCACAATTTTATTGTATAGTATATGATCATAGGCACAATGTTATTGTATAATACATTTATATACAATTTAATTGTGTTGCTTGAAATTCAACATGCTTTCAGTGTTGAAACGTGGGTAAGTGAATGGGACATTAGGGGAAAAAAGTATTACCTTTCTAGTCAGTACTAGTCACCCTATTGCAATAGGTTTATAGCCTACTAGCAGAGGAACACTTTGTTGCCCGGATGAAGACTGGGTCAACCATTTTAGGCCACCTGGGTTGTGTAGTGAAGACCTTTATGTATACATTATAGTGAAGATCCTCACAGTACACAGTTTTCACCAGGACCAGGAATCGTCAAGCACTCAGTGCTCGCTTATGAAACATGAACATCTTTCCTTAATCATGGTATCAGTCTGTATGTATTAAATGCTTTGAGCTTCAAAGGCGCTGCAAGGTCATTCTCAATCCAAAGTTATTATTGTTAGACAACCTCTTAATACTTTGGAGCTTGTAAACTGTTTTATTAAGTATAGATAAGCTGCCATAATTGTGGAAAGATGCACAGGTTTCATAAGTGATCACTTAATGCTTGATAAATCTAGGTCATGGTCATTTGCTGAGAGGATTTTCACTAATGATGCAGATCATGTAGACTAGAGATGTATGTTACTATGACAGATTCTCCCAAGTTTCCAGGATCCTCACAAAATCTGGAATTCTTGGTATATGAGGACCTCCTATGGCTTCTCCTTTTTCCTCGGGTTCCTACAAGAGTTCAAGTTTTGTTTCCAGGATCTCCAATGGCCCTTAGTGGCTGCAGGGCACCCACTTAACTCTGTTAAAAAGTGCTGGAAAAAACAATGTAGGTAGTCATTGAGGAAGGGTGCCTGCTTTATGTACATATGCAGTACATAATCCTGCACAATAATGTATAACCACAAAGGGAAATATAAGCCAGGAATTGTTTGAGCACTTTCATGTATATTTTAACACATTTTCCTGAATGTGTTAAAATATACAAGTGTGCAGAGCTCTATCAGATATTCAGCTAGAAGTCTCAGTAATGTAATTTGTACATTTCATTGCACACACATTTTATCTATTAATAAATTTTCCTGTCACACGATCGTTTCATTTTAAAACCAAACAAACGTATAATAATTGACTTAAGGTCCAATACAAATTCTTCCTGCAATGAGATTGTAGACAACTACACAGCAACAGTATTGATTTGGTGGTTGTTACTAGATGGGTCTAGTTTATTGTGCACACACAATAATTGAATATTCAATATTCATGTACACTTTATGGGGAAAGGGGGGGGGGGAGTTAAGGGAGGAATCCTTCCCCACAGCCTTCACACCTTCTATAGTGTGATCATATCCCCTCTCTTTATTCTCTTCTCTAAGACAGCAAGTAAGTAATTATCAATAGAAGGCACCAAACCGGGAAGGCTATGTAACACCATCAAATGTGTGGGATAATCAGAAGGCGCTATATATCGCCAAGGATGCCAATACGAGAACAAAAACGCATAAGGCGAACGATATCAAAAGAATCAGAGTCGCCAAAATCTAAGACAGTAAGTCCTAGTTCTTTTAACCTATCCTCATAACTTAACTCTTAGTTCTGGCACTAGTTTAATGCTCTGTACGTTTACATTTTTATGTTTCACAAAGTGCGGACTTCAGGGGCTGCATATTTCAGTGTGATATAACAAGGTGCTTAGACTGCCTTCAGAAAGTTATTTGAAAACCAAAATAAGAATTCTTTATTGTTTACCAGTGTCCCATATGCTGTGGTGGTAGTGGTGGTTGCTTTCTTACTTCTACATAAAGAAGATAGCCATAACAGACCAACTCTCGTGTATAACATCTCCTCAAGGATACTTGACACACTTCATGTTACCTCACGGTAAATGCCTTGACTTTTGACCTGCTGGAGGATGTTTGATTGCCCCCATGCTCAAAATTGTTGTCAACTGTCAAGCAGGACAGCTAAAGGAGGAATCTGCAGTGTCAGTATCAATGTCTCAGACCCTGCTGGAATATAACCAGTCTGTCAATCGGGTCAACCCAAGTGTTGCGTTTCCATGCGTTTCCAAAAGGGTCGCCCATGTTGGAATCGGTGAACGCCCTAGTAATATTGTTGAAAACATCTTAATAACTTATTAAACCAAAGGTCTTTGTATGTCAGAAGAACGGCATAAACTGGATCTATATATGAAAACTCTTTCAGGACAAAATTTAAAGTAAAACTAGATTATGTAAAACTAGATTAAAGTAAATTTATGTTTCTATCTTTCTTGAGACGTATAAAAATCTTACGTTTATTAACGATTCTGCGTGAAATAAGCATTGTTCTGAGATGAATATTGCGGATTTCCGGCTCTACGACCGATGAAAAATGCAACTTTTATACAACTACAAATATCTTTAGTTTTACTTTAAATTTTGTCCTGAAAGAGTTTTCATATATAGATCCAGTTTCTGCCGTTCTTCTGACATAAAAAGACCTTTGGTTTAATAAGTTATAAAGATGTTTTCAACAATATTACTAGGGCGTTCACCGATTCTAACATGGGCGACCCTTTTGGAAACGCAACACATGGGTTGACCTGATTGATATATGGGTCAGATTCCATTAAGGTTCGGAACACCAACACTTTAGGATGGTCATGTAAACACACATTAAGTCTCACGTCACACCAGAGAACCGTTTGTTAATGAATAATGTAAATATATCCAGGATGATCACATTAATTATTTGTTGACTGTCGTGGTGAGTAGGAAATGTTTAACTTGGCTCCTGTCCATGAAAGCTGCACATACTTGCTGCACCCACGGCCTTGCGATATTGATTTTGCATATACTAGACACCTGCAAATTTACAAAAAAAAAATGTTTTTAGACCTAGATAAAGCTCTCGCATTCTTGAGACTAAGATCTGATGGAGTTTTATTCTTTGTGAAACGTTCCTCATGGGAAATGATGTTTACACATCTGCAAACATTTACTTGGAAGTGTCAAGGATGATCTTCCATCAAAATAAAAATATATATTTCTTGCATTAATAAAATAGTGGTACAGATTTCGAAGGTGTATAGCCAGGTTTACCTGACGGTATCCATAATCGGAGACAGTTAATGTCGGTATCAGATGTTGCTTCCTGTACTGGGCTTGAACTGTAAACAAAGCCCCTTTCTCTCACCCAATCTCCCTCCTCTCACCCAATCTCTCCCGCCTCTCACCAATCTCTATATATTTTTGTTTTCCTAAACTTTTTATAACTCAAACAATGCTTTTACTCCCCAGTTTCTCTCGCTTGCTTCTTTACTTGCATTATTAATTCACCACCTACACGGATTTCTTGAGTGATTGCATACCAACGTCACCCACAAACATTTTCTGCAAGGATAACAGGTTCACCAAATAAATTCACGCCTTCTTGACCTTTACGACAAAATGACAGCCATAAAACAAACTAGTAGAGGAAAGGTTGGTGGAGGTAGTGGATGTGAGGGTGGTAATCTATACAGGAGACAATCTATACAGATTGATTGCCAGGTTGTATAGAATGCCTCGAAAATGTTTTTAATTAAGTCTTTATGCAGTTCTAATATTTGCCAACTTGCATATTTTGCTGACAATTGTCTGTTTATGTACACCAGGTGTGTGTGTATTGGAATTATATCCACTCCAAACTTTCTTTTGTTTAATAGCTAAATAACATGCAAACTTAATTACCAAGAGAACAATCGGAAAAATCAATATAGGGTTACTAAGTGTTAAATAATTCATGAGATAAAACAATTATTGTTTACAGTTTACTATATATATCATAAATTATAGTTCATGTGTGTTCATGAAGTCAGCCGCCAAGAATCCGGTTTCTTCTCTTAAGACACCACCGCCGGAAGGGTCAATTATCTAATCATACAAACGCCGCAGATCTACAGGGTCGGTGTTATTAACTATTATCATAGGACTGTCAGCCTTATACACCCGTGTGGTATGCCACTTACGTCTGGTCGGAAGATACGGCGTGATTCCCAACCTTGAGAAGATTAAATTGATCGAACCCACAATCTAATTGTATTTTATATTTATAAAATGTTTGTCTAGTTAGCTTTTAAAACGCCCTAGGGTGAGAAAGGCCACAGTTAAAGATGAAGAAACAAACTGAATGGCCAAGGGCCACGACCATGAGTTAGTGACCACGGTCAAGGGCAGGTGGCCACGACCATGGGTAGTGGCCACGGTCAAGGGCAGGTGGCCACGACCATGGGTTGGTGGCCACGGTCAAGGGCAGGTGGCCACGACCATGGGTAGTGGCCACGGTCAAGGGCAGATGGCCACGACCATGGGGAGGTGGCCACGGTCAAGGGCAGATGGCCACGACCATGGGGAGGTGGCCACGGTCAAGGGCAGATGGCCACGACCATGGGGAGGTGGCCACGGTCAAGGGCAGATGGCCACGACCATGGGGAGGTGGCCACGGTCAAGGGCAGATGGCCACGACCATGGGGAGGTGGCCACGGTCAAGGGCAGATGGCCACGGTTAAGGGCAGGTGGCCACGACCATGGGGAGGTGGCCACGGTCAAGGGCAGGTGGCCACGACCATGGGGAGGTGGCCACGGTCAAGGGCAGATGGCCACGGTTAAGGGCAGGTGGCCACGACCATGGGGAGGTGGCCACGGTCAAGGACAGATGGCCACGGCCTCGGATGATCAGTGAAAAAAACTGTTAAACCATGAGTCACTCGTACAATGAGCCAGCCACCTGCACAGCGAATCGTCCATCTGCCCTGCGAGTCGTCCATCTGCAAGTTGCAGGTGGTTCTTCCCTGTTGCAACTCTTCCTTAGATATTCTTTCGTAAATTAAACGTGTCCGTCCAGCACTTATGGGCTACGCGCACATTCTCGGAACTTCCCACACGAGGGAAGTCCACCAGTAATCCATATAATAGCTGAAAAAAACTTGGGAAGAATATCCACCCGGATTCAAAATCTTTAATAACGATCATTACTGAACGTCCACCTTGCCTCCACGCTAAACAAGAACGGTGGAGAAAATTGTTATTGGAGGCCAAGGCCGCCTCAACGGAGCTCGAAGGTCAGTACAAAGCCAGGAACGATGTATAGTTCCGGTGGAGCTTCACATCAACAGATACCTATTGCTATGTAAATGACGAAGACTGAAAGGGGAGGCAGAGACCCTGGCTGCGGTAGTGTGTAAAGTAACGAGCTTCACTGTGCAGCAGGAAATGTATATGTTTATCTCTCAGAATGTTTGGTAATATGTTTATTGTTTGTGATGTGTGTTTATGTATATATTAACACGATGTACTGAACGGGGTGAGAATAGCTTGAGCTACCTCATCCCTTTGTGTGTATTTTACCTCAATAAACTTATTTCAATTTCAATTTCACTGAGCAGCTACCTTCCTTTAGGGTTACAAATTAGAATTTTATGATCAATACAATAAGCTCGCACATATTTTTGACAACTGCCTTACTTGTTTAATAACGTTTTTCCGAGATACAATTGTGAGCATCGTAATGCCTAAGGGGAAGAAAATATAAATGAGAGAGAGAGAGAGAGAGAGAGAGAGAGAGAGAGAGAGAGAGAGAGAGAGAGAGAGAGAGAGAGAGAGAGAGAGAGAGAGAGAGAGAGAGGGAGAGAGGGAGGAGGGTGGGAGTGGGGGTGAGGAGTGCAACAGACACACAAGTAGAACACGTTCAAGACAAAGCTATGGTATGATTGATTATCCAGCAACTATGAGATATTATCACAAGAGTGACTCACCTAAGAAAGGTCTTGCAACCTACCATGGCTGTGCAACCATGCAACCCACCTAACCTACCGAGGCCGATGAATAGAAAACGTCAATAGTGCGATGCATTAATTATTACCAATACATCGCATTTTTAACGGACTGGTCAATTCCTTAAACAAAAATATGATGCATATTAGGCGAGAGGACGGGATGTGGTGTGCGTCTAGACCTTCAGCTAATGAGCCAAATTGTTTCCTCTAACCTTCACACATAGTAATGTTAGCTTGTAAACTTGGCTATTAAAACTTAAAACTGGGTGTGATGAGGCGGTGTTGCGCGCA